GAAACATGAACACAAATCAGACCAAAGTGTGGCACAGTACAGATAAAAAGGAAATTTCATCATCATGATGCAGGTGAAGTGCCACCGGAACTCTCTGCCACAGTTTCCCATTCCAATATCCCATAGGGAAAAAAAACCAAAAACCCCTCAAAGTTAATGCTAAAAACCAATCCCAAACACATGAATCAAGCTCCTGATTATTTATTCTGAGATGCAAGGAAAGAGGATTGAGCACCGATATTTATTTTTTGTAAAGGGTACGGGAAATTGGTCGCCAATATTCAAAAGGGCGAAACTTCAACTTTTACCAACTGCCTTACGTTTGGTGACATTGACTTCCCTTAGTGACTGAGGGAAAGTATATTAACCTGATATTTTCAGCTCCCTTCGCTGATCAACATGAAAACAACCTTTTTCTTTCACTAGAGGTCGTATAAAGAATAGGATAAGAGCTTAAGCAAGTATACTTGTTCATCATCTAAAATGCAACAGTGTTTTTACCGAAGTGATTGAGTAGACGTATACTCACTTGATGAACTTCGTAAGATACTTTCCCCTGCGGTTTGTGGTAGTCAATCACAACAGCCATATGCAAACCCTAAAACAGATACCTAAATATCAATTTGAGTACATACTGTGAAATGAAAATGCAAAAGAAACCTTGAGAAACAAAATCCAAAGCAAACGACAAATTAAAAAGGTAACCCAAGCATAGAATTGCAGCCAGTACAACTGCAGTAACAGCCAGCGACCAATAGCAACAGAATTACAGCATATCAATAGTAGAAATATAGCAGCAATAGCAGGGAAAGGAAGTATAGCAGCAGAAGTATAATTACAGTAGCAGCAGAAAGAAAGTGCATCAGCACTGAAACAGAAGAAGATCCATCATATCTTTGACCTGAAAGAGGCTGACAGAACAATTGAACGACTAAGTGATTGTGGCTAAATAAACTGTAATACATAGGGCATTAATAACAACTTGCAACTATCTACACCTATGCAATAGTAAGTTAATGAAAAAAAGAAAAAGGATGGGAATGAAGCTCTCCTTTGGGATTGGCATCTTTAGAAACATGTGTGTATGTTATGTGGCATCTGCCCATCTCATTAGCAAATTGCATGATTTTACAAAGTTCAAGAAGGATCCATTTTCATCCAGAACAAAAGTTCTTATGCTCCAGCTAGTGTGTAAATTAGACAATAGATAACAAAAATTCATTAACTCTTAAGACTCATAATTCATCTTCAGCAGTGCAGGAGACACCTTTGGGTGACAAATGACACAAAGAATCCTAAAGCTCGTTTGAACTGGAAAGTTCAATTCAAACCTTAAACATCAACAACAGGTAGGACAAATAGCGCTTCCATCAAACCCACTCTCCCATTTGAATGAACTTATGGGCCAAAACTCCAACAACATGCACTTCGTTGGTCAAATGATTAACAAACAACAACAGGGTCAACCTAAGGTGTAACAGCAATGCAGGAGATGAAAATGATGATGGGGCTGGGAGGGCAAATGGGAATGTGAAACAACATGGTGGGGCTGGGAGTGGTAGGAAGTGCGATGGTTGACCATGAAATGGGAAGCCACTAAACATTGTAATGTAGACTAATGAAGGAGAGAAAAGCTAGCTAGATTGTCAAACACAGCTATATAAGCAAAATAGCAAAATGATAACTTTGATTAATGATTAGTATTAACCTGATGATCCTACTTCCCAATTCTACGCCACTACTCAATTGCGTCACAGAACACCTCAAACGTGAAACGCCTCAGCATGATGCAATCAAAAACACAAATTGTAAGCATGGAAAGAGCGAATCTACCTCCGACAACAAAGGCTCGAAGTTCCAGCTGGGCTTGGCTCAGCCACAATCCTGTGAACTCTCTGCCGACAACGATGGTCCAACCTCACGGGTTCCCTGAAACAGAATGGTTAAGTAAAAAACTTTGGCCTACGGAATGAAATCAATACAATATACTGTCGGCCGCGAGAAAAAGAGAGCATACATAACTCCGATGTCGATACGGTGGATTGCTTGAATGGAGAAGGAGAGGAAAGTGGGAGCGTTTGGCTATGAAACAACTCCTCAACTTCCATTCGTGTTTGTCTTTTTCTTCTTCTCTGCACTCGCTAGTCTCCACTCCTTTTTTTTTTTTTGTAAGTCTCCACTCCTTTGACTCATGAAACCATAATATGGTACTGAAAATAAGGAAAATCAATAAAAGTGAGCAGTTTTAATAAAAAAATACTAATAATAACGTGAGAAAGGCAAGCAGGTTCATTTTGTTGGGGTTGGGGTTGTGGTAGGAGGAAGATCCACCGGAGACTGCAAAAGTTATAAAAAAAACAAAAAAAAACTCACCACCGTCGTATGACTTTTCCCCGCCAGGGAGTCGTGCCCCTTCCAACTTGGGCGGCAATCAAACTGAAACTGCGCACCTCTCGTTGGCGTTTCTTTTGATTTCCTGTCTTTCGCTCCTCCTAGGCCGCCGCCGAGCTTCTTCTCTCTTCCAAATTGAACATCGGCACTTCCACCAACTCCCACCTCATCCTCCTGCTGCTCCATCACCACCACCGTCTGCTTTTGTTTTTCCTCCCCATGGCTAGGGCTCTTCGCTGCTATCGGTGTGCTCTGCAGCGAGAGTCCACAAATGCTCCTTTTGTTCCAAAGCGATCCCATCTTCCTCCGTTTTTGGGTTCAACTGCGACCGACAGCTAGGGAGAATTTTAGGGTTTGCGTTGCAAAAGAGAAAAGAGGATTATGGAGGGTGCAAGAGGGAGAAGCCTTTGTCTCCCACCAAGTCACTTGTAGCCAATGCCGCATGGGTTGCGTGTACGGGAAAGTAAAATCAGAGTGGCCAGCTGATGGGGAAGACGTGCCTTCCGGATTTTCTCCTCTAAAAGTGAAGGCATGGGCTTGGTGTAGGGAAAGCAATAAAAGCATGGCGGAGTGGACACGGGAAGTTTTCCTCAGAAAGCAGAGGAGATCGCTAAGAGCTATGCACACTAAAAAGACAGAAACTAAAACAGTAACGAAAATGAGAGAGGAACAAGTGTAGTAAGCTTTTATATAGTAAAAGAATTTCAATAAAAAGTGGTGTTTGGAAGTGGATGAGTTTCTAATAAAAGAACTCAAAAGTTTGTTCCCCTTTTTGTTTCCATGATAGAAAGTCGATTTTAAAAAGGTATCAAAATAAAAAAAAATATATAACGTTCGAGTTAAAGAGCACAAAGTTATGATGGTCCAAAATTTGGTGAAATTTAAAAATTGCTCGTTTGGGATAGCAAACAACGTTTGTTAGGGACAAAGGCTGGACCAAATTGCCTCTGGCTGTTTGCGACTTGAAAGATCTCGAAAAATTATATGGAATAAATTTTTTTTTGCTACGATCGGATAACCGAGCGCAAAATTACGTTCGTTCGAAGTTTTGGCATAGGTTAGGTGTTCACTGCTTCCGACGGCCGCGGTGAACTATTCACTGCTTTTTTTAAGAACTTGTGTAATATGGGAAAAAATACTCAATCCCTCCTCATTTCCTATCCTCCAAATCCTAGATTCAAATCCGAATTCGGGCACCCGAAATTCGTGGCCAATTTCATCTCCTACTTTGATTCACCTAATTCATTCGGCATTTTCATTCCAAGCACTAATTGAAGCAATTCCTTCACCTTTTACCCCCTCAGCTTTCGCTTCATCTCTTCTAAAATTCCTCACATTTTTGTCAATTTTCTGTCTATTTCAATAGTTCGAAATGGGGCATCGCTGCAGAGCTGGAAAAGCGGGTGCATATGAGCAATTTGACGTCGGTCTAAACAGAGAGGGGTCATCTTCAATAAGGAAGATAGAGGGGCAGGTTCTACTAGAGCTATACTCGAGTGGCTCGGAGTTTCGTTAAAGCTACCACTGCCTTCGTGAATCCGCTTTTTCTATGGCTTGTTAGACTAGCCACAACAAGGATTTTTTTATGGAAAAAAGGAGGGAAAAGGGATGAGAGGGCATGCGACTGGTTGGTTTTTCCTTTTTTTCAATGTTTATTTTTAGTGTTGTCTGATGGGGTTTTTGTATTTTATCCTCCAACGACCATATTTTACAACCGTCATATTTCCAACGACTATTTTTCCAACGACCATATTTTCAGTGACCATATTTTTTCCAGCTCTATATATAAAACCATTATTCAATTTCTTTCAACACTTCTCAAACTCTCTTCCTACCTTCCAAACAAAAAAATTATCTTCTTCCCAAACTCTCTATAATCGTAATCATTGCTTAATCCAGCAGCGAGCGCAATCCGAATTACACAACGCTCAAAGACCTTGTTTTGTGCTAAGCTTGGATGAAAGTTTCACAAGATCCTATCATGGATCATTATCATTCTTCACCAGCTTTCTGGAAAAGAATTGGAGATCTATATTCTGCAAATGGTTTTATGATCAATCTTACCAATGGCGCCTTGAAGACTAGATAGTAGTTTATCAACCATTCATGTCAGAAGTGGTGTGCAACATTGAGGAGTGAAAATGCTAATCTACCGAGAGGAACTAAACAAGGAGTCAACTTCTAAATTAATGGTATAATTTTAGTGTTCTAATTTTTAATGATTTGTATTGTTTTCTAATTAATTTTTTAGACGAATGACCCGAAAGCTATTTACAATGCAGACACGAAGAAAGACTGGAAATTGAAAGAATGTTGGCAACTACTCCAAGAGTGTCCAAGATTTATGCAACAATTTTATGCTCATGTTGCACCCATTCCATCACTGGATGGATCTCAATCGGCTATGTCAAGTGATGAACCTAATAGCCCCGACCTTCATGTACTTGCTGCTCCAAGAGTGCTCAACCGTCCCGAAGGTCGAGATCAACAAAAGAGGAAGAAAAGAGGAGGTATCTTGCCATGTGGTGTTTCATGTACTTGGTGTAGGGCTGATAATCGGTTGACGGTTAATCGGTTGAACCGAAAACCGAACCGAAAATATCGGTTAT